ATTGAAAAGAAGTTAAAGCTGAAAGTGTTTCTACAGAGCAAAAATTAGTTTCTTTCAAAAAAAAATCTGCTCCTTCAAACCTCCTTCCTCCTGCCCCCCCCCAAAAAGAGGCTGGAAACAAAGAGTTAATTTATTATTTATTTTGTGGTAGTCCCTAAGAGCCCCAGTCATGGACCCCATTGTGCTCAGCGTGGTACAAACCCAGAGCAAAAAGATGATCCCTGCTTTGGGGAGTTTACAGTCTAAATAGTAGATGCAGCCGGTTCCTCATCATACAACCCTTCATCAATCACTCTTGCCACACCCAACTAACATCACCCACCCAACTTTAACTTTGCCCCCTAAAATTTGCAAAAATATGTGTGCATTTCAGAACAACCCAGTTACCATGAGATTGTATAATCTCTTATTCAAGGAATCCATTTCCAGTATGCAGTATCACTAACATATACTACATCATTACCTCCTGTGGAAAAACTACATAAATTAGTTGCTACAGAGTATAATTAATATGGTTAAAATACAAAATTGCAAGATCTGCATACACTCCCAGAAAACTCCAAAGCCATATAATCAACACATTTCAAAATACCAAACACATCAGTCTTTCCAATGCTAATCGTAACTATATTCTTCTGCTTTACCAACACATCACACAGTGAGAGAACTTGCAGTGCTCTGACATAATTTCATTTACCCAGTACTATATTTCTTTAGAAAACTTTCCAATGCATTTACTAAGCAATATATAAAATTAACAGTGTAAATATCCAATAGAATATTTCCATGACATAGGACCTGTCATACCGAACCTATGGTCCTGCTGAGCCGGTGCCCTGTCTCCAGTAATGCCCAGCACCTCATGCTTCAGAGAGAAATTCAAGAAATCCAGCAGTCGGCAGTTATGAAATAACTTGCCCCCAGGAAAAAATTCTTCCTAACCCCATCAGACAGAGGTCGGCTTATGCCCTGGAGCATGATGATTTATCTCCCATCCAAACTCCTGCTTTTGAATCCTTACTGCTGTAATGCTGAATGTTCTCATTATCCATTGAAATGTCCAAAGACAAAGCAAACCGAAGGGCAAAGCTGAGGTTGGATGGGCAGTGTTATGTCAGGGAGGGTGACAGTGGGTGATGAAGGATTATATGGCAGAAGATGATCTGGCTGGATTCCTCATCTGTCTATTTGAGGCTTTAATTAGTTAGCAGTTTGTTTTTTTAAATGTAGTTTTTTTTTATAAAAAGAGTGTATTTATTTATTTATTTTTAAAATGGATTCATGTTCTGAACCTTGACACACTTTTAACAAAGTGTTTTTGTTTGTGAATATATGAAAGAGCCTAAAATCAGTGTGATGCCAGTCTGTATAATACAAAGAACGAGACATGGTGCAAGCTTGAACTTGCTCAAAGCTGAGTAATGTTAGACTGTTATCTTGTCATTAAGAATTGCTTTGAGTCGCTATCTGTTCACCAACTCTAATTAACGATCATTTAACTGTACTGTCAGCCCTGTTTAAATCTGAGTGTTGCCAGTTGCTTCCTTCATCTGACCAGCCAATAGGAACTGGGGGAGTCATTCATGCATACCATTGTCCTAGTGGCTCTGGGCCTATAGCCTCCCAGTTTAATAGGGCATTCAGAGCTCATTAGTGAGGAAACACATCAGGAGTGACCGCTCCAGTGCCACACGTTGCAACTAATAGCCTTGCCGAACAGAATCGTTTCTGTTTCTGCTCACTTGTTGTTGAATCCTTTCAATGTCAACAAGTGGTCATGTCGGCAGGAGCCCGCCATTCTGCCCAACAATTTTATCCGTTGCTCTCCTGAGCCAGACTTGTGTCCTCCTCCATTGTTTGACCAACAATGGAGCCTGAGCAATCACAAAGGCTTCACAGCCATTCATCATCAGCTCACGAATTCTCTGGGCAAGGTTACCCGCCAAACTTTTGGGCCATCGTGTTGGCACAATGTGTGAATACCCGTGAAATGCAAATAGTTTCTGTAGTTTACACTTTTGTTTCAAATGCATGGATGGGGGGGGGGGGCAGGGGGAGGAAACCCTGACATAGCTCTGGCTAAACGGAAAATAAGATTTTGTAGAAGCAGAGCAAAGACACAAAGACAGAGCAATTGGAATGTGAGGTGAAATGAGGAGTCAGTCCCTCAGAAAAAAATGACACAGGGATAAGTGTAAGTGGGGGAAGGTCTCATTGTGCTTTTGGCTGAGAATTTTCTTATGACTCTGCTGCTGCATGAGGAAGCACAGCTAGCTCCCACGTAGCAGGACTCCTGGAGTACAGTGTCCCTTTACAGGCTCCTCAGACGCTTTCCCTTATTTCCAGTCATGTAATAGTTAACATTTCATTTGTGTTTATTGGAAGCTTGGCTGGTAAAAGGCATATTCAGAAATCTAGCACTTTTTATTATTATTTGTATTATGGTAGGACGGAGAGGCCCCATTGAGGTAGACACTGTACAAATACGTATTAGGACAGCCCCTGCCCAAAGGTGCCGAAATAGACAAGAGGCAAATGGTGGGAGAAGGGGAGTATTAGTATCCCCATTTTCAACATGGGAAATTGAGGCACAGAGATTAAGTGACTTGTCCAAGGTCATGTAGTCTGTGGCAGATAGGGTAACCACCTTTGTTGGGTGGAAATAAGGGAAAACCCTATGAAAACCCTATGACAACGCTTTATTTTAAGGGACATTTTAGGGAAACATCATTTCCCTTAGCATATCATGTGTTTTTCTCTCAAGTGTACATTTCTCCTCTCAAATATACAATGCAATTATCATAAGCTTCATTTAATGTTTAAAATGTTTATCAGTTTTAATACATTTCAATATATCTTAAAATAAGGAACGGGTAGTCGCCCTAAGGGACAAATCATTGAAATAAAGGATGCTCCCTTAAAATAAGAGATGGGTGGTCACCCCCGTGGCAGAGCCAAGAATTGACATCAGATCTCTAGTGTCCTAATGCAATGTCTTTACCGCAAGACCCTCCTTCCTCCCTAGGTGTAAAGTAATCGGATTGAATCCCAGAAGACTTACTCAGTCAGAAATCCTCTTTGATTTATGGGAATTTTGTCTGACTAGGACTTCAGGATATGGCCCAACAAGATGGAAATGAGACTTTGATTATTTAGGCACATGGGGCAGTTTCTTCAGATATGTCACCATCTCCGTATTTTGCTCTCACAAAACAAGAAATTAAGAATGGACCCAACTTGTTCAGAATAAAGGCAAAGGTGAATTTGCCTGGCACCGAGAGATCCAGTATGTCATACACCTAGTCTACATAGAAAAGGTTTGCTGGTATAGTTATATCGGCAAACCTTCTTAGTATTAGACGCAGCTTACATCAGTTCCCTGAACAAAATCAGCACAAGCACTTTTTGCCAGTTTAACTGATCCAAACTAGGACTTTTGCTGATATTAAAAATGTCACACACAAAAGTATTGCATCCCAGACCAACATTACTATACCAGCAAAAGTTTTAAGTGTAGACCTGGTCTAAGTCCCCCCTCCCCGTGCTGGTAAGAACTTTATTAGACTATATTTGCAGAGCTAGTTTTATGTAATAATTGCAAAACAAGAAAAAAAATTACAACACACCAATTCACCACTTATTGGGTTGGTTGCATCAAGACCTGGCAGTAAGTATGGCTCTCAGTTACAAGAGGTGGATGGTGTACAGTACAAAGAGTTGCTGTCTTTCATATCGTTGCAACCTGGAATTGGAAGATAATGGGCCTGATTCTCTCTGCTGTTACACCAGTTTTAATGCTGATGTATCTCCTCTGATTTCAGTGGAGTTGCACGAAACTGATGTTACACCCAAGCAAGTTTCTCCTCCTACAGTGTTGTCAATCAGGAATACTCCACAAAGCACGATGTCCATGATTTGCTTCACAGCAGTTTGTAGTCGCCCTGTAAATTCATGAGCCAGATTTTTCTCTGAAACAACAGGGAAATCTGAAAGAACGCCACTGACTTCAGTGGAGCTACTCTGATTTACATCATTGTAAGAGGGAGGGGAGACAGGACACTTGTGTGAACTCAGCTTCTGGTTTGTCTAGTCCAGTGGCTCTCAAACTTTTGTACTGGTGACCCCTTTCACATAGCAAGTCTCTGAGTGATACTCCCCTTATAAATTAAAAACACTTTTTTACATATTTAACACCATTATAAATGCTGGAGGCAAAGCGGGGCTTGGGGTGGAGGCTGACAGCTCACAACCCTCCCGACCATGAAATAACCTCACGACCCCCTGAGGGGTCCCGACCCCCAGTTTGAGAACCCCTGGTCTAGTCATTACTATGTAAAAGGGTTAGATGAGTCATTGTTGGCAGTGAAATCTTTTTTGACATATGCAAGAATTTTGTTGGAAATCTTTTTTGATGTATGGCAGAATAAATACAAAAATCTCAGTTACTATAGACCCCTATTCAGCAAAGCACTTAAGCACATACTTAAGTCCTTTGTTGAATTAGGAACTTGGGCCCAGATCCTCAAAGGTATTTTGGGTCCTAACTACCATTGATATCAATAGAAGTTATCCAAAATACCTTTGAGGATCTGGGCCTTAGTGTATGGGCAAAATCCTGCCCTGACTTAAGTAAATCAGAATAAAATTTGACCTTATGGGTCACATTCTGTCCTCAGATATCTATCCAGCTCCCATTTACTTCAATGGAAGTAGTGAAAGCATACCCAGAGGATCCAGGGGCAGAATATGAGTGGTACATGCTGAACTTCAATGCCAACTTCGACTGGGACAGTTCACATCCAGAAGTTTTACTTCAGGATCATCTGTAGTGATATGTGAAGAAATCAATTAGAAAAGGATAGAGAATAAAATAGAACGTGACATCTGTAGTTTATTTTTTTTTCTAAGGAGAACTAAGTAGTTTAGAGACCATCAAGAAAAAGTATAATCATGTTATGTAAAAGTGCCTCTTTTTTATTTCTGTTGTTGATATTTTGCAGCAATTTTATGAGAGCATTGATTGGCCTCATGGATTTTAAAGCCTTGGAACTGAAAATGTACAATGCTAGGGTAAGTGAACCTTTCTATTGTACTTTAAAAATACCCAGTCTTCTAGAGTGAAGAAACCCCACTTTCATTGTTAGATGACCACCCTGGATTTGCTATAGATCTTTGTAATGGGATTTGAGACCCACACTGAAGCCCAATCCTGCAAAGATTTAAATATGTACATAACCTGACACCCACGAGTAGTCTTCTTGAATTCCGTGGGGCTGCTCATTTGGTTAAAGTTAAGCATGTGCTTACTGAATTGGGACCAGGATACTTATTATTTTGCGGAATTGAGCCCAAAGTTACGCACATGCATATGGCTTTGTAGACCGGGGACTAATTGAAGGCAAATCAGATGTAACTCAGTGGGTATGATAACTCAGCAGAATGTGTGTGTTCCTAGCTTATTATTTTGAAAGTTTACTTGTGTTTCGTAGCTTTAAAGCACATCTAGCTATAGAGTATTTGGCCAAATATGGAAAATGATGGGAAGTCCATCACTTTAATAGTTTAAAACAAGACTAGAAAAAAAGCATTGGAAGGTATCCTCTAGGGAAGAATCCTGCAGTATGACGTGTTAAACAGCCAAGTGGACCTTATCTATTTCTTAGGGTATGTCTACACTACGAAATTAGGTCAAATTTATAGAAGCCGGTTTTATAGAAATCGGTTTTATACAGTCGATTGTGTGTGTCCCCACATAAAATGCTCTAAGTGCATTAAGTCAGCGGACCGCGTCCACAGTACCGAGGCTAGCGTCGACTTCCGGAGCATTGCACTGTGGGTAGCTATCCCACAGTTCCCACAGTCTCCGCCGCCCATTGGAATTCTGGGTTGAGATCCCAATGCCTGATGATGCAAAAACAGTGTCGCGGGGGGTTCTGGGTACATGTTGTCAGGCCCCTCCCCGTCCGTCAGAGCAATGGCAGACAATCGATTCGCGCCTTTTTACTTGGGTTACCTGTGCAGACAACATACCACGGCAAGCATGGAGCCCGCTCAGCTCAGCTCAGCTCAGCTCACCGTCACCATATGTCATCTGGGTGCCGGCAGACATGGTACTGCATTGCTACACAGCAGCAGCAGCTAATTGCCTTTTGGCAGTAGATGGTGCAGTATGACTGGTAGCCGTCATCGGCTTTCTGGGTGCTGGCAGACGTGGGGCTACATTGCTATACAGCAGCAGCTCCTTGCCTTTTGGCAGTGGATGGTGTATTATGATTGATATCCATCATCATCATATTCCTCAGTGAGTTCGGTCAGAGGCACCTGGGCAGACATGTTTTGTCTCCTGGAGACTCAGTCCTGCCGGCAGTCCTACTGAACCGTCTTGACGATGATGGCTAGCAGTCGTAATACAGCATCTTCTGCCAAGCACCCAGAAGATGCCGATGGCTATCAGTCATGCTGCACTGTCTGCTGCCAGCCTAAGATGTAAAAGATAGATGGACCAGTTTTGTTCTGTATTCATTTGCTTCCCTCTCCCTCCGTGAAATCAATGGCCTGCTAAACCCAGGGTTTTGAGTTCAATCTTTGGGGGGCCATTCTGTGTGACAGTTGTTTGTGTTTCTCCCTGATGCACAGCCACCTTTGTTGATTTTAATTCCCTGTAAGCCATGTTATCATTCGCCCCTCCCTCCCTCCGTCAGACAATAGTTTTGCACCTTTTTTCAGCCCAGACGCCATAGCACTGGGATCATGGAGCCCGCT